TAAGTTTGGGAGTTTTCCTTCCTCTGCAATTTTTTGAAACAGTTTCAGATGCATAAGTGTTAGCTCTTCTCTAAATGTTTGATAGAACTTGCCTGTGAAGCCATCAGGTCCTGGACTTTTGTTTGTTGGGAGTTTTAAAATCAGTTTCAATTTCAGTACTTGTGATTGGTCTGTTTCATATTTTCTATTTCTTCCTGGTTCAGTCTTGGGAGATTGTACCTTTCTAAGAATTTGTCCATTTCTTCCAGGTTGTCCATTTTATTGGCATACAGTTGCTTGTAGTAGTCTCTTATGATCCTTTGTATTTCTGTGGTGTCAGTTGTAACTTCTCCTTTTTCATTTTCAATTTTATTGATTTGAATCCTCTCCCTTTTTTTCTTGATGAGTCTGGCTAAAAGTTTATCAATTTTGTTTATCTTTTCAAAGAACCAGCTTTTAGTTTCATTGATCTTTGCTATCATTTTCTTTCTTTATCTCTATTTCTGTTATTTCTGCTCTGATCTTTGATTTCTTTCCTTCTACTAACTTTAAGTTTTGTTTGTTCTTCTTTCTCTAGTTTCTTTAGCTGTAAAGTTAGGTTGTTTATTTGAGATGTTTCTTGTTTCCTGAGGTAAGATTGTATTGCTATAAACTTCCCTCTTAGAACTGCTTTTGCTGCATCCCATAGGTTTTGAATCGTTGTGCTTTCATTTTCATTTGTCTCTAGGTATTTTTTGATTTCTTCTTTGATTTCTTCAGTGATCCATTGATTGTTTAGTAGCATATTGTTTAGCCTCCAAACACAATTAAATGTTTGTGCTTTTTACAGTTTTTTTCCTTGTAGTTTATTTCTAATCTATAGCATTGTGGCTGGAAAACATGCTTGATATGATTTAAATTTTCTTAAATTTACCAAGGCTCACTTGGTGGCCCAGCACGTGGTCAGGTCCTGGAGAACGATCCATGTGCACTTGAGAAGAATGTGTATTCTGCTGCTTTGGGATGGAACTCTATAAATTTCAATTAAGTCCATCTGGTCCAATGTGTCATTTAAGGCCTGTGTTTTGTTATTGATTTTCTGTCTGGGTGATCTGTCCATTGATGAAAGTGGGGTGTTAAAGTTCCCCACAACTACTGTGTTAATTTCTCCCTTTATGGCTGTTAGTATTTGCCTTATATATTGAGGTGATCCTATGTTGGGTCCATATATATTTAGACTTGTTATAACTTCTTCTTGGATTGATCTCTTGATCATTATGTAGTGACCTTCTTTGTCTCTTATAACAATCTTTTTTTAAAGTCTATTTTGTCTGATATGAGTATTGCTACTCCCTCTTTCTTGTGATTTCCATTTGCATGGAATACCTTCTTCCATCCCTTCACTTTCAGTCTGTATATGTCTCTAGGTCTGAAGTGGGTCTTTTGTAGGCAGCAAATATACAGGTCTTGTTTTTGTATCCATTCAGCCAGTCTGTGTCTTTTGGTTGGAGCATTTCATCCATTTACATTTAAGGTAATTATTGATATGTATGTTCCTATTGCCATTTTCTTAATTGTTTTGGGTTTGTTTTTGTAGGTCTTTTTTCTTCCCTTCCTCTTTAGTTCTCTTCTCTTATGGTTTGATGACCATCTTTAGTGTTGTGTTTGTATCTATTGTAGTTTTTGGGTTTGCTGTTCCCATGAGGTTTTGATATAGCAGTCTATATATGTACAAGGTTGTTTTAAGTTGCTGGTCTCTTTCTCGCCTAGAGTAGTTCCTTTAGCATTTGTTGCAAAGCTCGTCTGGTGGTGCTGAATTCTTTAGCTTTGGTTTGTTTGTAAAGCTTTTGATTTCTCCATCAAGTGTGAATGAGAGCCTGGCTGGGTAGACTATTCTTGGTTGTAGGTTCTTCCCTTTCATCACTTTAAATATATCATGCCACTCCCTTCTGGTCTGCAGTGTTTCTGCTGAGAAATCAGCTGTTAACCTTATGGGAGTTCCCTTGTATGTTGTCATTTTTTCCTTGTTGCTTTTAATATTTTTTCTTTGTCTTTAATTTTTGTCAGTTTGATTACTATGTGTCTCGGCATGTTCCTCCTTGGGTTTATCCTGCCTGGGACTCTCTGTACCTCCTGGACTTGGGCGACTGTTTTGTATCCCATGTTAGGGAAGTTTTCAGCAGTTATCTCTTCAAATATTTTCTCAGGTCCTTTCTCTATCTCTTCTCCTTCTGGGACCCCTATAATGCAAATGTTGGTGCATTTAGTGTCCCAGAGGTCTCTTAGACTGTCTTCATTTCTTTTCTTTTTTTTCTTTATTCTGTTCCACAGCAGTGATTTCCACCATTCTGTCTTCCAGGTCACTTATCTGTTCTTCTGCCTCAGTTATTCTTGCTATTGATTCCTTCTAGTGTATTTTTCATTTCAGTTATTGTATTGTTCATCTCTGTTTGGTTGTTCTTTAGTTCATCTAGGTCTTTGTTAAATGTTTCTTGCATCTTCTTGATCCTTGCCTCCATTCTTCTGAGATCCTGGATCATCTTCACTATCATTATTCTGAATTCTTTTTCTGGAAGGTTGCCTATCTCCACTTCACTTAGTTGTTTTTCTGGGGTTTTATCTTGTTCATTCATCTGGGACATAATCCTCTGCCTTTTCATTTTGTTTAACTTTCTGTGATTGTGGTTTCCATTCCGCAGACTGCAAGATTGTCTGTATCCACTTCTGAGAAGTCCTTTTAATACAATCTTTCTTTAAGCTCCCTTTAAATTTATAGAACCTGGGTCTCCTGTTGTGATTTTTTTTTAATTGTGGTAAAATACATACAACGTAAAATTTACTCTCAACTATTTTATCTGTACAGTTCAGTGGTATTAAATACATTCATAATGTTATGCAACCATCACAATCATCCATATCCATAACTCCTTTCATCTTGTAAAATGGAAACTCCATACCCATTAACCTCCCTATTCCCCCCTTCCCCGCAGCCCTAAGCAGCCACTATTCTACTTTCTGTCTCTATGATTTTGAATACTCTAAGTACCTCATATAAGTGGAATCATACACTGTTCGTCTCTTTGTGATTGGCTATTTCACTTAATGTAATGTCCTCAAGATTCACCCAGTGCTATGGAAAAGGTCCTCACCCAGCTTACAGCTAATTATGACCCTCATAAATCTGTTGAATGTACCCCCTGAATCAGAATAATATGTGCTAAGCACAGACATCTTGGGGGAACACATTACTTCCCTCAAGTCAGTTATACATCTTTCAGGGGCAAGAATTTAGAGGTTCATTCAGCAAAATCTGTTGACACATAGGATGTACCAGATACAGATCTCGGTGCTGGGGATCTGGCAATCAACAAAGCTCCTGGTGCATGGAGCTTTCATTTAACTGGAGGACAAAGATAACAGTCATATAAACATGCACTATGTCAGAAGTGACAGTGCCACGAAAAGCAGTAACCCACGAGATGCATGGTAAGGGGTAGGGTGGTATGTTTGAGAATTTGTAGGAGGGGTCTCTTTTATGAGGCGACATGTGGGCAGAGACTGAATGAAGTGAGGAGAGAAAGAACTAAGGCAAGAGCATCTTATAATTCTTTATGTTACACTGCTTCTGTTACAGGCATACCTCGCTTTATTGTACTTTGCAGATACTGCATTTTTTTTTTTTTACAAATTGAAGGTTTTTTGGCAAACTGGCATTATCAGATGATCGTTAACATTTTTAGTAATAAAGTATTTTAAAATTAAGGTATGTACACTGCATTTTAAAGATATAATGCTATTGCATACTTAACAAGCTACGGTATAGTATAAACATAACTTTATGTGCACTGGGAAACCAAAAAATTCATGTGACTTGATTTATTGTGATATTTGCTTTACTGTGGTGGTCTGGAACTGAATCTGCAATATCTCTGAGGTAGGTTTTATATAAATTGAACATAACAGTTTCTTATAAATAGCAATTGATCAACTTAGTGATCCTTTGAGTTTGTTTTCTTATGATGAGTGAAAGGATTAAAGAAAGTAGAATCTTGTGACTTTACTGCATTATATAGTCTAGTGGTTCTCATCTGGGGTTGATTTTGCCTGCCAGGGGACATCTGGCAATGTCTGAAGACATTTTGATTATCATGACCTGGGGGGATGCCAGGGTACCACTGGCATGTTCTGGGTAAAGGCCAAAGATGCTACTATACATCCTATAGTGCATGGGATAAGTCCATACAGCAAAAAATAAATTGGCCACAAATATTAGCAGTGCCACTGTTGAGAAACCTTCATCTGGTCCCCAGGCAGGCTGCCTTCTCTGATGAGAGCTGAGGGACTGGGCAGAAGGAACTCTTTCAAACAACCCCTTCAAGATATCTGGATATCTGCAAATAGGGCAGATCCAAAGCCCTTGGAGTTACTTACCTTTGGGGCATCTGTTCTAAGCTTGGTAACAGATTTTGTCAGATGGTTTCAAAGCCATATGGGGGTTTATTCATTAAGCAACATTAAGTAAAAGTTTCCTGCATGCCTGTGGTATAAGAGAGGGCAGGGAGATAAGATGTGGTCCCTGCCATCAAAGATTTTACAGCCTAGGGAGGATGGGAGGCGTGAAGACAAACACCTGCAATCTGACAAGGGCCACAAAGGAGGAGAAAACAAATGAGGTAGGGGAAGGGAGCAATGACTTTTGTTGGGGTGACCCAAATAAGTTTAACATATGAGGTATCATTTGAACTGGGCTTTGACCATGAGTAGGGTTTAAACAGGTAGAGAAAGAAGCAGAGGATATGCTAGGTAGAGGGTCAGATGTGAAAACAGGTACAAAGGTAGGGAATGATAATGTTATTACAGCAGCTGCCATCTGGTAAATCCCCTGTGGTAGGTGTGGTGCCAGGCTCTTTATCATGAAAAGTAACTGTTGTGTAAACTGAAAACTGATATACGAGAAGCAGCTGAAACCTAGCATGACCCAAAGTGACTTGAATTCCCATCTTATGCATTTCGAAAAGATAATGAAACATGGGGAGTGTTACCTGGGGAGAGTTGCATAAATACCGAAGCAGTTCACCGATATACTGAATGACAGTGACGTTATATTTTCTGCAGTCATCCCAAAACTGACTGGCTGAAAATTTGGACCGCAAAACAACAGTAGCACCTACAGAGAAGGCATAGAAAGTACTAATAAAGAAATGCTACCCAAAAAGTCCCTAATTATATTTGTCACTTTTGAAATTTAGAAATTTAAAAAAATTTATATATGAATTATATTCACAAACAAGTATTAGTTACCAATTATATTCAATGCAAAAAAAATAAATAAGACACAGTTTTGTCCTATAGGAGCTTCCAATCTAATGGGGGAGAAGACACAAGTTTTTCTAAGAGTCAGTGTGCAATAAACACACCCTTAGTGAGGCCCTAAGGGTGCGTGTGTGTGTGTGTGTGTGTGTGTGTGTAGACTAATTCTACTTGGGGGCAAGTGCTGAGAAAGGCATAGGATTTGAATTAGGTCTTGAGAAGTGAATATCGAGAAAGATGAGAGAATTCCTGGCGGAGGAAAAAGCATGAACATAAAGACAGGACAGTCCAGAAGGTTGGGGGATGGCCAAGACTCTGCTGGCCTGTGACTAGAGTGGTGAAGCCTGGGTGGGTCAAGGGAGATGAACCTGGGGAAGCAGCTAGGGGTGCAATCCTGGAGAGTTTGTAAGTGCCAGGGGAGGAGCCTGACAGTTTTATAAGCGATGGAGAGCCAGGGTCTTCAGGAAGCAGGCGATATTCTTCTTTGATGGGTGATGTAGACAGAATAATGGTTCCCAAAGACATCCACATCCTAATCCCTAGAACCTGTGACTATGCTACCTTACATGACACAAGGGACTATGTGGATGTAATTAAATTAAGGATCTTGAAATGGGAAGATTATTTTGGATTGTCTGGGAGAGCCCAATATAATCACAAGGGTGCTTATAAGGGGAAGTCAAGAAGATCAAGGGCAGAAGGAGAAAGGATGACAGAAACAAAAGATTGGAGTGAAATGCTTGAAGACGAAAGAAGGGGCTACAAGCCAAAGAATGCAGGCAGCCTCCAGACACTGGGAAAGGCAAGAAAATGGATTCTTCCCTAGAGCTTCCAGAAGAAATGCAGCCTTGTTGACATCTTGATTTTAGGACTTCTGACTTTCAAAACAGTAAGAGAATAAACCTGTGTTGTTTTAAACCACTAGGTTTGTGGTAATTTATTACAGTAGCAATAGGAAACTAATACAATGGGTAAAAACAATATCTATCATATCCAATCTAATGATAGGTATGAAATGTAGTAAAGTGAAATTAAAAAATGTCACAAATATTTTTCACGTTATTAGTTTATTTCTACTCCTAAGTATACAAAAGTCCAATATTTTAGGAGAAATTTTTAAAAATACTATATTTTCTTTTTTAGCATATATCAATTGTGCTTAAGCAAATGTGTGAGTGATTGATTTGTCCCTACGAGAGCTTCAGAGTCACCCTGTTCTTGAAGGGCCCAACAATATGATCAGACCCAGGCATTCCTTGCTGATTTGGAGACTAGTACTGATGCTGGGCTAAGTGTTTTATAGCTGATCAATAAGTTGATGAGGGAAAGGAGCAGAGGCTTGGAGAATCATATGTGTATTTGTATATGCATATATGCTACTATATATAATAAATAATTATTTAAAATAAAATGTCACATGGCAGAAAAAATTAAGGTTTTTAGCTTAGTTAGAAACTTAGACGTGGTTTCCTGGAAGAGGTGGATATTGGACTGAGACTTTATATACACAAAGGGCAGAAATCCTACTGACAGGAGAAAGGATGGCAATTCTAATTTAAATGGTAAAGTTTCAGAAGTAGAGAGAAAAGATGGAAAGCTATATATTCTGACCAGAGCTGAGGACCTGCAGAAGTAGGGAAGAATAAAGTAGAATGGGACAACTGAATGAGAAGTTTAAATCAGATGCTAATGGAGATCAACATGCAGATTTCTGAAGACAGAAATGACATAGGAGAATTATTTATGGAATCAAAGGATCAAGTACCTTAACCTGGATAAAGACCTAAAATATTTTAAAGAAGTTTCCTCTTTGATATACTGAACAATTATAGCATTATATTACTAGACAAGCAGGCATGAGAAAATATAAATTCTTTTTATTTATTTATTTATTTTGCCACGTGGGATCTTAGTTCCCCAACCAGGGATTGAACCCGGGCCCTTGGCATTGAAAGCATGGAGTCCTAACCAGTGGACCACCAGGGAATTCCCTATAAATTCTTTTGGATGCTTGCTATTGTGAGCCAAACAAGCTAGTTATCAACATGGAATTAAACACCGTTCTGGGCACACAGGAAAGTAGCAAATTTTGTATTACTTTTCCTTATGAGCACATTGAATGTGTACTGGGCTCCAACACCTTGTTGAGAGAAAAAGCTTACCAGTCAGGATACATCCATGTAAGCCAACCAAAAGCGCAGCACTGTGGTACAAGGGTAGGGTGGTATAGACTACGTCATTCTCCGTTATCCCGCTGGTAGCAGCAAGGTTGGCTCCATACCAAGTGCGAAGATGATTGATCATTGCAGCTTTCGGGAGACCTTTGTAAACACAAGAGAAGCCATGAGTGAACCAAGAGTGGTCATTTATAGACATGTGGTCTGGGAGAGAGATGTGGCTTAGGAAGATTCATCAGCTGGTGATTAGAGGATTGCATTCAGTTACACCAGAAGTTGGCAATTTTTTTCTGTAAAGAACCAGATGGTAAATGTTTTAGGCTTTGCAGGGTCATAGTCTCTATTGCAACTACTCAACTCTGCTATTATAGCTGAAAGCAGCCACACACAAAAAGGAACAAACTTGGCTCTGTTGCCATAAAACTTTATTTACAAAACAGGTGGCGGGGCTGTTTGTGGCCCACAGGCCATAGTTTGCTGATCTCTGAGTTAGATGGTTATTACAGTAGTAAGTTGAGAAAAAAGGAAAGAATGTCTATTGAATTTCTGCTCTGGTCTACCACCTTGCAAGGTATAGTTGATCCTTGAACAACAGGGGTTTGAATGGCTTGGGGCCACTTATGTGACGATTTTTTCAATAGTAAATATATCCATGGTTGATTGAATCCATGAATGAAAAATTGCAGATACCTAGGAACCTATATGGAAGGCCTTCTATAAGGTATATGCATATCTTCAACTGTGTGGAGGGTCAGTACCCCTAACCTGCACATTGTTCAAGTGTCAACTGTATTTTCAAAATTTCATTTAATTCTCATAATTAATAAGTAGAATTATATTCTCTAATTTGCAGATGAGAAAGCTGAGATTCAGGAAGAGTAAATAGCCTATCCATCCTATCTCCTTCCTTCATAACCACTTTTATGAATTTCTTATGTACTGTTCTAGAGTTTCTTTATACAAATATAAGCTCATTTACTCATATGTTCTTGCCCTTTCCCCCATTTTAAAAAAAACACACTTTTCTGCACTTGTCCCTGCTCCACTTAATGTATTTTGGAGTTCTGTCCATATTTGTATGTAGAACTTTCTCCTATTTTTTCATTCATTTACTCTCACTCTCAGCTGCATCAAGTCCTTTGTGTGTGTGTTATAATTTATTCATATTATTTTGCGATTTCAAATGACGCTGCAGTGAATAACCTGGTCCACATGGCACTGTGCACTATGAATGACGCTCCATCTGTAGGATAAATTTGCTTGTGTGAGACTGCTAGGTCAAAAGATATGTCTTTGTAATTTTGATAGACACTGCCACATTGCCTGTTATAAGGCAATTTATAAGGCATTTACTCTCCCATCAGTAATACCTGAGTGCACCTGTTTCCTCATAGCCCTTCCAAGGTATCCTTTCAAATGTTGGGATTTTTGCCAATCTAAAAGGTGAAAAATGGTATCTCAGTGTAGTTTTATTACACTAAGTACATTTGCATTTTCTTAACTATAATTTATGTAAGTTTTTTGTAAGACTCAATTAAAAGAGTATGCTTATATTTTTTCCCATGGGAGTCAGTTCAGTTGGGAAGGGCATGAAGTCATTACCAAGGGGCTGGGGCTAGAGTTTAAGACCTGAGTGGGTAAACTGGCTTTGGGAAGAGGAAGGCAATTCTCTGTAGATTCAGATGCTTCAATATTTGATGGTACCTTAGCTGGATATTGCCTGAATAAAAGTAATTTGTTATAAGGCAAAGCAGTATGGCTGGCAAACTACCATCATCATAAACACAATTCACAATTCATGGTCTTTGTTGAAACAGAAGAAAGCATCAATAAATCAATTGTATTCACCTTGGAAAAAAATTGTCCAGATAGTAAAAGCTCTGAATTATATTTAAAAAAAAGAACAAAAAGAAATGCACATCCTTTGCTGGTTTGAAGTACTTTCAGAAACTTTCCTAATTAAAATTTTTAATGAAGAAATAAGAATATCTGGTAACTATTATATAATTTTGTGCTACTGACTGCCTTTGAGGAACAAGGAAAACATTTTGTTCTCTGATTGCTTAAATGACTTCTTTTAATTAATGTTTGGAAGAGTAACTTAACAAATATTTTATTCAGAGAGAAGAAGAAAAGTAATATAAACATCAACCCAATTATATTCCAATTAAATCTAAATTCTGAATTATAGGATTAAATTAAAGACTGCTTATTCTCGTTTTCCCCTAAAATGGGTTTTATATTTGATGTCAAAACCTGCAATTGTGAAGAAGTGTCTTAATACTATATACTTACCTACGTAGTATTAAGACTAGAACACCCAGTCACTAACTAAAAGGGCTTGTTTTATCTCAATTATTTCCCAAACCAAAGTTTTCAGTTTAGTTTTACCATTCTATTAAAAATGAAGGTAAAATTTCCATATATTAACATAGTGTCTGGATGTAGTGGAAGCATTTGGTTAACTGTGTCATCCTACCATTCTGTTGGCATGGCGATATATAACTTTTGACAAAACAGTGACAGACATTATGCTCTGGGAATCAGCTTTAATAGGTCATCCCCAGCCACCCCTCCTCATGAGGCTCAAAGGAACCGTTATCTATTGGTTGGCCAAAAAGTTCGTTCAGGTTTTCTGTACGGTCTTAACAGAATTTTACAAGGAGAATGCATGTTTGTATTACCTGCTTAAGTTAAAATTTTAACCAAAAGAGATAAATGATTCACATAGTCAACTTCCCAATATTAATAATTAGCATGCTGGGGCTAGCTTCCTGCCCTCCTCTTAAATATATCACTCAGGCTTCATTTGATTACGTTTTGGTAACATTTCCCCTGGCCTAGAATAGGCAGACACCAAATAGCTGTTAAATGGATGAACTAGGAGGTGTTCTGGCAGAGTGGTCAGTTGCATGAGCTGTGGAGTCAGCCTACCAAGGTGAATCCTGACACTTCTACTTCTGATCTTGGAAAGTTCTTAACCTCTCTAAGCATCGGTTTCTGAATCTGTAAAATAGGAATAAGAGTAGTACCCACCTGTAACTGTGGGTGGGAGTGGTGGGAGAATTGTATGAACAAATGCCGTAAAGCTCCTAAAAGAGCACCTAGTACATCCTACCTTTAATATTGCCTGTTCCATGTAGCAGGGTTCCAGCAACACCGATAATTGGCAGTGTTTTCTCTTAGTGGCTTACAAAATAGTGGTGCAGCTTACACTGAAGGTGTAAAGCATCCTAGATTTGATGAAATACATTATTTTAGGCCCTCAGCTAAGAGCCATCCTACACCCACAGCACCAACAGCTCCAAGTCAGTCTTGCTTGGAAAGGTAGTGGTCAAAATATTTGTATAAATATAACCCCATTATTGTTCTGCAGTCTTCGTTGGTGGTCCATTTATAATTGGTTATACATTATATATGGACTCTGGATATAATATAATCAAAATGCAGCAATCATTAAAAAAATTCCAACAACCTATTCAGTGCCAAATCTTATCCATCATCATAACTATTTTTGTAGTTCTTGGTTAACCTCTTTATCTGTTCTATACACCAAGTAGGGGGAGGTGTGCATAGCTTAGAGAAACCCAAATGGTTTCATATGCTATGAAACAAGATCAGTTCCCACAGGCAAAGAGCTAAATCCCCTGAAGTATTAGTTATCTGATTAGTTTTGCTGAAGAAAGAGAGCATTTGAAAATCTAACCTAACATTTAACACTTTCAGGATAGGTCCATTTCTTGGAGAATCCTCTCTTTATTTTTACCTGTGGTTCCAGAAGTATAAATGTATACGGCAGGAGTGGAAAAGGTCACTTCCGACCTCCAGGACTCTGGGATGGATTCAGTTGACACTTCATCCACTTTGTCTAAGAAAGAGTCGACCCCATCGGTGTTAGAACTTCTGCTCACGTAATAGATGGCCACACCATCTTTTTTCAGGCTTGGCAGCACCTCTTCAACAGCTTCGTGTAGTTCTTAATTTAATGAGACAAAAAATCCAAACAAACTAAATTAGTTCATTCAAGTCTATTAGTGCAATAAATTTTGCAGTGATTTTGTTTTCCCTAAACTTTGCTAAAACGTGTAGATATAGTGATACTTAGAGTTATGCATTTTTAACATGGAATTTACCAAATTTGAAAATATCCCAAGATCCCAATATTTGAGGGGAGGTTGGGTTTTAATGGTTTCATAAGCAGCAGATGGTTGGCTGAAGTCTGTATTTTACATGACAACTGCAAACAAATGGACATATGGGTAAAAACCAAGATTATGTAAGTGTATGACTTTTATGCATATCTGTTATATATATAGTTATTCCTAATATGTGCCCCACAGGACCAGTGATAAAAAAAAAAGAAAATTTTAAGGAAAAAGAGAAATGAAAGCAGGGGAGCCATGCTACTAACAAAGATGATAGAAGCTAATTTTATATAACACATTTTTTTTACATATCAGCAACAAGTAGTTCTACTAGGAAGGTTCAGCTGATCTGAGACATAAGCTCCAAATCTCACAAGCACATTCTCTGGCCTAAGAAAAAATGGATCGATTAGCATGTTTTTCAAACTATGGGTCATAATACAGCAGTGGATTGTTAAAATCATTTAAAGTGACCATTATTCTAAAAAATAAAATAGAAATTTTCAGAGCATATCACACACAGGAAGAGGTTTTTTTTAAGTTTCGTTTCAGCTATGTGAGTGTGTGTGTGCTGAGTCACACAAAAGTGTAGTTTTTACAGTGGGTCAAGGTCAAAACATTTTTTTTTTTTTTGCTGTACACGGGCCTCTCACTGTTGTGGCCTCTCCCATTGCGGAGCACAGGCTCCGGACGTGCAAGCTCAGCGGCCATGGCTCACGGGCCCAGCCGCTCCGCGGCATGTGGGATCTTCCCGGACCGGGGCACGAACCCACATCCCCTGCATCGGCAGGCGGACTCTCAACCACTGTGCCACCAGGGAAGCCCTAGGTCAAGAAATTTAAAAAGCATTCATGTAATATGCAAACCACATTTCAGGTTTGCTACTTGGATTTTTGTGTCGCTAAACCATAAGATGAGATGGTCTTTAAGCTTATTTGTCTTGAATGGTGGTAACTGAAGTGAATAGGCCTATCCTTAATAGGAAGGTGACTCAATATCCCAGGGAATTACCTTAGGGAGGCTAAACCTGATTCATCTTATATGCTTTGTTTTTTACATGTTTATGTATGATGTCTCCATCAAGACATGAGATATCATCTCGATAGATGCATTTAAAAAGTTTTAAAACTTTTTAACCAAAACAATCATACACCTGACAAATATAAATCAAATAGTACAAAAGAGTTTATAATGAAAATCAACAGGCCCTTATCTCACAAATAAACCTGCTGCCTAGAGGCAATGACTTTCAAGTTTTTTTAGCTGTTTCTTCTAGCAATCACTTCTCCATCACCAAATTATGTGCTTTTCCTGCTCCCTCTTGACTTATCATTTTTGATCCCCATCCCCCTTGTCCACCCCCAACAGTTATTATCTTCACTTTATCGTCTGGGTTAATGGTATTTACATCTATTCTGAGACTATAATTTTGTCTTCCTACCTTTGTCTGTGTGTTGGCTCTAGAAGCTCTAGAACCAATCATCAGGATTGACAAGATTATGACAATGTAATTATTTGTAAATATGACTGCAGAGCGAAGTAACACACAATAATCATCTTTCCCTTCTTGAACAGTTTTCTCCTGGAGTTTCTATTGGCCATCATTCCTTAATGTACTTCGCCTCAGTTCTTTTTTTAAAAGATAAATAAATTTATGTATTTGTTTATTATCTTTTGCTGCATTGGGTCTTTGTTGCTGCGCACGGGCTTTCTCTAGTTGCAGAGAGCAGGGGTTACTCTTCATTGCGGTGCATGGGCTTCTCATTGTGGTGGCTTCTCTTGTGGTGGAGCTCGGGCACTAGGCACACGGGCTTCAGTAGTTGTGGCACGTGGACTCAGTACTTGTGGTTCGCGGGCTCTAGAGCACAGGCTCAGTAGTTGTGGCTCATGGGCTTAGTTGCTCCACCGCATGTGGGATCTTCCTGGACCAGTGCTCGAACCTGTGTCCCCTTCATTGGCAGGCAGATTCTTTTTGTTTTTGAATTTTATTATTTTTTTTATACAGCAGGTTCTTATTAGTCATCCATTTTATACACATCAGTGTATACATGTCAATCCCAATCGCCCAGTTCATCACACCACCACCCCCCCATCCCCCTGTGGCTTTCCCTGCTTGGTGTCCCTACGTTTGTTCTCTACATCTGTGTCTCAATTTCCGCCCTGCAAACCAGTTCATCTGTACCATTTTTCTAGGTTCCACATATATGCATTAATATACGATATTTGTTTTTCTCTTTCTGACTTACTTCACACTGTATGACAGTCTCTAGATCCATCCACGTCTCAACAAATGACCCAATTTCATTCCTTTCTATGGCTGAGTAATATTCCATTGTATATATGTACCACATCTTCTTTATCCATTCGTCTGTCAATGGGCATTTAGGTTGCTTCCATGACCTGTCTATTGTAAATAGTGCTGCAATGAACATTGGGGTGCATGGGTCTTTTTGAATTGTGGTTTTCTCTGGGTGTATGCCCAGTAGTGGGATTGCTGGATCATATGGTAATTCTATTTTTAGTTTTTTAAGGAACCTCCATACTGTTCTCCATAGTGGTTGTATCAGTTTACATTCCCACCAACAGTGCAAGAGGGTTCCCTTTTCTCCACACCCTCTCCAGCATTTGTTGTTTGTAGATTTTCTGATGAAGCCCATTCTAACTGGTGTGAGGTGATACCTCATTGTAGTTTTGATTTGCATTTCTCTAATAATTAGTGATGTTGAGCAGCTTTTCAGGTGCTTCTTGGCCATCTGTATGTTTTCTTTGGAGAAATGTCTATTTACGTCTCTGCCCATTTTTGGATTGGGTTGTTTTTGTAATATTGAGCTGCATGAGCTGTTTATATATTTTGGAGATTAATCCTTTGTCCATTGATTTGTTTGCAAATATTTTCTCCCATTCTGAGGGTTGTCTTTTCGTCTTGTTTATGGTTTCCTTTGCTATGCAAAAGCTTTTACGTTTTATTATGTCCCATTTGTTTATTTTTGTTTATTATTTCCATTACTCTAGGAGGTGGATCAAAAAAGATTTTGCTGTGATTATGTCAAAGAGTGTTCTTCCTATGTTTTCCTCTAAGAGTTTTATAGTGTCCGGTCTTACATTTAGGTCTCTAATCCATTTTGAGTTTATTTTTGTGTATGGTGTTAAGGAGTGTTCTAATTTCATTCTTTTACATGTAGCTGTCCAGTTTTCCCAGCACCACTTATTGAAGAGACTCTCTTTATTCCATTTTATATCCTTGCCTCCATTGTCATAGATTAGTTGACCATAGGTGCTTGGGTTTACCTCTGGGCTTTCTATCCTGTTCCATTGATCTATGTTTCTGTATTTGTGCCAGTACCATATTGTCTTGATTACTGTAGCTTTGTAGTATAGTCTGAAGTCAGGGAGTCTGATTCCTCCAGCTCTGTTTATTTTACCTCAAGACTGCTTTGGCTATTTGGGGTGTTTTGTGTCTCCATACAAATTTTAAGATTTTTTTGTTCTAGTTCTGTAAAAAGTGCCATTGATAATTTGATAGGGATTGCATTGAATCTGTAGATTGCTTTGGGTAGTGTAGTCATTTTCACAATATTGATTCTTCCAATCCAAGAGCATGGTATATCTCTCCATCTGTTGGTATAATATTTAATTTCTTTCATCAGTGTCTTATAGTTTTCTGAATACAGGTCTTTTATTTCCCTAGGTAGGTTTATTCCTAGATATTTTATTCTTCTTGTTGCAATGGTAAATGGAGAGTGTTTTCTTAATTTCTCTTTCAGAATTTTCATCATTAGTGTATAGGAATGCCAGAGATTTCTGTGCATTAATTTTGTATCCTGCAATTTTACCAAATTCATTGATTAGCTCTAGTAGTTTTCTGGTGGCATCTTTAGGATTCTCTATGTATAGTATCATGTCATTTGCTAACAATGACAGTTTTACTTCTTCTTTTCCAATTTGTATTCCTTTTATTTCTTTTTCTTCTCTGATTGCCGTGGCTAGGGCTTCCAAAACTATGTTGAATAATAGTGGTGAGAGTGGACATCCTTGTCTTGTTCCTGATCTGAGAGGAAATGCTTTCAGTTTTTCACCATTGAGAATGATGTTTGCTGTGGGTTTGTCGTAGATGGCCTTTATTATGTTGAGGTAGGTTCCCTCTATGCCCACTTGCTGGAGAGTTTTTATCATAAATGGGTGTTGAATTTGGTCAAAAGCTTTTTCTGCATCTATTGAGATGATCATATGGTTTTTATTCTTCAATTTGTTAATATGGTGTATCACATTGACTGATTTGTGTGTACTGAAGAATCCGTGCATTTCTGGGATGAAACCCACTTGATCATGGTGTATGATCCTTTTAATGTGTTGTTGGATTCTGTTTGCTAGTATTTTCTTGAGGATTTTTGCATCTATATTCATCAGTGATACTGGTCTGTAATTTTCTTTTTTTTTTTAGTATCTTTGTCTGGTTTTGGTATCAGGGTGATGGTGGCCTCATAGAATGAGTTTGGGAGTGTTCCTTCCTCTGCAACTTTTTGGAAGAGTTTGAGAAGGACGGGGTTAGCTCTTTTCTAAATGTTTGATAGAATTTGCCTGTGAACCCATCTGGTCCTGGACTTTTGTTTGTTGGAAGATTTTAAATCACAGTTTCAATTTCATTACTTGTGATTTGTCTGTTCATATTTTCTATTTCTTCCTGGTTCAGTCTTGGAAGGTTATACCTTTGTAAGAATTTGTC